TGTAATATCTGAAAATTCTTTCAAATTGCACTGAACTAAACGCTCGACTTGTGCAATTTCGAGGGAATTTTCAAATGTTACTCGTAGTGTAAATCTCTTTCGTACGGTTACCTATACTTTTTACGCAATCATTTCTCAACACCCAACAACTCTGAAAAAACATTTATCAAATACTGCTGGCCCAATATTACAGTCAAACCAACAACCTAAACACACTGCAGCTGGCGCGTCTTAATAACATGCATCCATTACCACTTGTTAATGACTCCAAAGGTTAACAAGGGTTAATAACTTTTCTGCCTAAAACACGCAAATAAAAAGCCGACAAGAAGTGTTTCAAGTCAAACGCGAATTGGAAGAAGCCGGCGACTGTAATGGCCATGAAAGTAGTGTTTGTGCTTCTTGTCCTGTCTGTGGTGCTGGAGTTTTCGGGTCTATGTCAAAGCCAGGGATATCAGTGTCTCTTTACCTCTTGTTCTACCAAACGAGAGGTATGTTCACACTTTCAATTATAACAGTCTGTTTCAGTTGTTGCAAGCCTTTAGGAATTGAAGTTAATTATCCGTTGTATTAACAGGTCCTTTTAGAAAAAAAAAAACGTTTCGCGTTAATTTAAAGTACTTTTGATGCAAATCCCTTCCTATGAGAATGTCTGTTTTGAATTTGTCTCCTTTGAAATATTCAGTTTAATAGCCATCAACACAAAGCAAGAACGAAAAGCTAGCGAAATTATTATTTTAACTCCGTCTTTTCTCCTCCTCCTCCTCCTCCTCTTTCTTCTACTTCTTCTTCTTCTTCCTCTTCTTCTTGTTCTTCTTCCTCTTCATCATCTTCATCTTCTTTTTGTCTTTTTTTTGCATGCACTACAGAAAAAAACCCCAATGCATATGCTAACCAACTTTGACAGAAATTTTAAATTGAAACTTCGAAGTGTATTATTTAAAGAAACAACCTTCTCCCTGTTATTTGATGTTCATTGTAAATGTTCTTTTCCCATTTTCCCATTCTGTCTTCAGGAGTTGGAAGACCCCAAGGGTTCTCTAAATGAAAACGACCTGATTCCTTTGAACGAGTACAGAAGAAACAAACTGATGCGCTTGTCAGAAATGCGACGAAACAAGGCAAACAGATTCGACGATGATCTGGAAGAAAACTGATGAATTCTTGACGTCTTGTATAAATTTGAGAAAGCTATCTGTATAGCAGGCTAGGATTTCGATACTAGTTAAAATTATAAACACTGTTAGCTGGTATTTAGAATTCTTGAATAAAGAGCACATACTGGATTCATTTGTTATCAAATTGATATATTTCAGCCAGAACACCGGCGTAACTATTTCTTACAAACATTGAAAGCGAGTGACGCCTTTCTTTTCTTAAACAAACGGTCCCGGGCAACCGGTTATTAAATGACAGAAAAAAAGGTAACAGACATTTTATCGTGTGGGCGGAAATAAGCGACAGAGTGCAAAACTACTGTACGTGAGCGATGGTTAGTGGCAGTTTCTACAAAGGCAAAATGCAGCCCCGACATTTCAGAAAAAAGCCTGCTAATAAATGAGTGACTGTACATCTTGTAGACGTTTTAATTAGCACCTTACTGAAGACTTGCACGAAACGTTGTTTACATCTTCTCCCGCCTAGATGAACACGTTTCCCACGTTGAAACGACCTAAAGCCGCGGTTGTCTTTTTTCTCAACAAATTTCTGTGAAAACTACTGTTGTGGATAAACAGGGCCATCAGATTCCAAAGTAATTTTACATCTGGAAACAACACCTTCGATGATTCTTAGCTTTGTTAAACTTTAAGCATTTCTGAAGATACGTTGATACCTTTTTCAGATTTTTGGAGAATATAAACATTTTTGCTTCCTGAAAAGAAATGAGGGTAACCCGATTCCTTGAACGAATACAAACAAAACAAACGGCTGCGTTTGTCAGAAATGATTCGAGACAAGCAAAACAGATTCGATGGTGATCTGGAAGAAAACTGACGTTTTCTTGACGCCAGGGATAAATTTGAGAAAACTATCTGCATAGCAGGATTTCGGTACTCAGATAAAATGCTAAAATTATAAACAGTGTATCTGTTGAATTTAGGATTCTTGAATAAAGAGCGCAAATACTTCATCTGTTTTCATATTAATATATTTTAGCCAAAAATACCGGTGTAACAATTCCTTACAAACATGGTCAGCGAGTGACGCCTTTTCTTAGTAAACAAACGGTCCTGGGCAACCGGTTATCAAATGACAGAAAATTCTAACAGACATTTTGCCGCGTGGGCGGAAATAAGCGACAAAGTGAAAAACTACGCGAGCGATAGTTAGTGGCAGTTTCTGCAAAGGTAAAATACGTGCAGCCTCGACATTTCAGCTGTCAAATGAGCAGAAAAAAAGCCTGCTAATAAATGAGTGACTGTACATATTGTAAACGTTTAAATTAGCACCTTACTGATTAACTTGCATAAAACGTTGTTTACATCTTCTTCCCCCTAGATGAACACGTTTCCCGCGTTTACGCGACCTAAAACCACAATTGGCTCTTTTCACAACAGATTTCTGTGAAAACTAATGTTGTGGATAAAACAGAACAATGAGATTCAAGAAATCTGGAAACAACAAATTGGTAGAGTACTCGTGCAATGGCTAGATGCTATTAGTGTTAACTGGGTGTCTACGTAGTCTGATGCAGTCCAAGCTCATGAGCGCTTTTGCTACCCAAAAATTTTGCAGTTTTTTTAAAGTTAATTTCTCCTCGAATATTACATCCAAAGAGCCAAAAACTTGACCAATTACTAAGTTTCACAAGCTCTTTGAATGTTTGCAGTCAATGTCTAGCGTGATGCCTTCTCCGCGCGAAGTCGTATGTTAATGAGGAAAAATGTAAACAATTACGTCAGCTAGCAAAGATTCAAGAACGAAGAGCCCTACGTCATTACCAAACAAATGAACTTTCTGCTGTCATTACTCAAACTTAGTTTTGGATGGCTTCAAAGCGTATGGAAATCTAAAGGTTTTGGAGTTTTCTTGATGATCAAACCCCATTTTTTCTCGTTGCTCCTCACCACTAACTACTCGCTCTACACACTCACTCCAGTTTATGTTAATCACGATAACACGACATTCTACACTTAATTGATGGTCTTCCCAAGATGATTTCTCTTGCAATCCTCGATGAGGAATGGTTAAAATTTAACAGTCCGTTTAGGGGATCGTTGGAAAAATCCTGCAAGGAATAATTTGAACCTGTAAGTCCAAGAGTTAATCAAGCTATGATGAACAGGACTTATAGATACAGTTTTAAGGACGGTGCCTACTAAAT